CCGTACAATGCTTTCCTTCAGTGCAATTCATATTCTTCTCGTTATTATCGCATTTATTTGTGGTCTATATAGTATTCGTGAATATCGTTATACATACAAACGATTAACAGCCATGATTTATATTCTAGCTGGTAAAGAACAGATTTTATTCGATTTGTTTATACAAATATTTTCATCTTTTAGCTGCTTCTCTGCTTGTTTGCATCGAAGTTTTAAGTACGATATTTCGTCATGCTAGCGAACATCTCCCGGACATTCATCCTCCGAAAACGAAATATTCGTTCAATGTTTGTTATATACTTGCTTGGGTGGTGTTTGTTCAATTACTTGGCTCATCATTCGCATTTTTCTTTTGTAGTAAAAAACGAAAAGGTACATTTGACGAAGCAACGGAAGAAGAAGCATTAGCAAATCTACCTGTCGACCTCGGTCGTTTCTGAACGAAGTCATGTTATTCCATTTAATTACACATTTACTCGAAAAAAGCAAACATCTCTGATCGAAAATGATCAAGTTTTTTTTTTATTGTTTGTTTGTTGTTTTAGTGAATAACTATTGAATTTCTCTGACCATCGTAATCATGTATTCCCATTTTCAATAGACATCATTTTCCTCAGAACGAAAACAGCAAATTGTCACATCGCCTGAGAATTGAGCAATCAAATTATCTGAACATTATTAGAAAAACCTCGATGATCAGTCTATGGGATAAATAATCTATTTTTTGCTCAAAATAAGTGAGTTGGTCGACTTGATGATCAATTATTGCTGTAAATATTTACCAACATTTCATTATTGTACATCTTGAGCCATACAAACATTCAATTACGCGATGTGTTTTCTTTCTTTATACATCTTATTCAGAATGTTTTCTTCTAAATATGCAAAGAACGCATTAAATATCGGTCTGTAAGAAGAGTACGCTAAAGATACTCGCAGTAAATACGAAGATAATAGCTTATGGTAATATGCATGTTGACAAGTGTAGTAGAACACCAAGTGACAACATTTTCTCGTAAACATCAAGTCAAGAAAAACATCTGATGCTATTCACGTGCACATTCGAAGAAATGACAGTTTAATCAAAGAGGTATCAGAGGAATTCTTTTCTGTCGCAGCATTGTCAAGGGTCATCATTGTACCAGCGAATTTCTCTTATGTCATTTGAATATTTTTACCTTGAGATGAAAAAAAATGTATCCATAATAAAACATGACGATGGCGCCTATCAGCAATCAATCTCGTTGATGTAAAAGGAAAGACGAGGAAACATTGAGCATGAAAAAACACAATTAATATCCTATAATAGATTAGTTTCGAATGATTTTCATATCAATATCTCGTTTAATATGTCTTTCAAACAAACAATATGTTTTTGAACGATTGAAGTTCATGTATTAATCTTGCTGATAAAGATTATTATATATCGCTGAGGTTGTCAGTAAAGGTTATTCGGAAGATGATGTCTTCTAATCATTACTCACGGTACACTAGACAAGAATGACTGGCAGATGGACTATGTTCGTGTAGGGGAGTGCTAATGGCTCAGAAAAAAGAAGTTAGATCATCAAGCATTTTGATATGTCGTTCTCCTTTTCCTCAAGCTTTGCAGTTCAATGTAATCAAGACGAGAAATGATAATTATTGACATTCTTCAAAATTCCTATTTTGTTTTCATACAAAGAAAACCTAGTAAAATGCTGATAGAAATGCCTTACAACAAACCATTCATCCATCCAGTAAGACGATCTATGAATCACATCAACGGAAACATGCCGAATGATAATAAACATAGACAATATTAAATGTCAACTGAAGTTAACAGAGTTGTTTATATGTACAGTTGGCTTTCTTTTCTTTCTAATAATTGATGTTAAGAGAAAAAGAATGTAGCTTCTTTAAAATTATTTGTGTTCAAACAAATTTTTCCGATTCTTTGTTTGATGGTGGGAAACAGTGATGTAATCTTTCATAAAGTAGTCGTTTTGACGATTCTTTTGATCTTCTCGCATCGTACACTAAAGTGTTAATAGGTGCAATTCTTTTCTTTTTTCATCATCTTTTCTTGTTTGTCGTTTTATTGTACGTTACTCTATTTGACAATCAAAGCAAATAGTCTAGATAAAAGTAAAAAAACTGTAGTGTCTGTGTTATATCACAGAGTGTTACATTGCTTGTGGCAATATGTATAGAATTAAAAAAGGTTAATTCTAAACGGACAACTAATTGTATGATTAGCAAAATGGCGTCGAGCAAATTGATTAGGCCGACAGCAATTGACAGTACAGTTCTAACCTTGACGATCAATATATTTGTGCAGACACTTGTAACGATAATACCATCTTTTTTTTAAGGAGAGTAATCTTGACAATCTCTATTTTCTTGAGTTCGTCGAGCCAATCTTTGTTCTTGGATTGCTCAATATAAAGCATGCATCGATGAGCGAAAGAATGTAAACATCGTTTTAGTTATTATTATCATTATCTGTTGCTGACGGCATACGGCAAAAAAAAAGACAACATTCAATACTTCGAGCTACAGCTATTTGATGAACGGGAGCGTCGACCAAGCAAAGAAGATTGCATAGCACATTTCTCTAAGAATGTTTGTATGCTGTTTCATTAAGTAAAAATCGTTTTCTCCTGTTCAACATCAATAGATATCATTTGTTACTTCTTTATCTTTGTACAATCGATAAACCTCAAACGTTTTTCTTTTCTTTTTTTCTCTTTTCTCTTTACATGTTGTGTTGACTGACCTCATTCTCTTCTTCCCTTTCTGGTACACGGTAGGAAACCGGAACAACAAAAGAAAAAAAAGTGGAACTCGATCGTGCATTTAACTGTTGATATTCGTCGAAACTACTTGGATATTTAAATGACGCGTAAGTGAACGCGACATAATAGTTCGTGTGTTCAGTTTTGAATAATGATGGTATTAGTAAGTAGATCGAACATACTAATTATACAGGTAAAGAAAGATGACGATGGTGATGGAAATAGTACAAGCAAAGTGTATATATGCCCTTCAGCACTATTGGTGACTGCAAACAAATCTATACAACGGAGAAAAAGAAGAACATATTTCACGGTCCAATCCCATATACATACACATATGTTCTTATACAAATCTTAGTCGTTTGATTCTAGCCTCGTATGCAGATGACATGGCCAAGGTCGGTCGGGAGGTGATAGAAAATGATGACGAATAGCTCAGCGACATGCACGCAAGTATTCTCTATCAGTTCATTGCTGTGCCAAGGTTGATCAGAATATGTCGACGACAATAGAGCTAATTTCTTCTTCTTCTTCATTGTAAAAACTCTAGTCTGTACGTTTATAAAATGACAATTGAAGTATTGTTAAACAACACAAAACAAAAGATGTTCAATGTCTTTTTTTTCTCCTCGATCTGTTTTTAATATGTATGTGTTAATCCTTTTCTGTTACGCGCTACCGTTTACATCATATACTAACTTGAATCGTTTGCTTTATTGTTAGCGGAGAATGCTTAGTTTTTACGTAACTAAACACAATCAAAATGAGAAAAAAATCTATCAGGTCAAATCAGTATAACTAATCGATAGAGACATTGGAGAATTCAAATATTTAGTCGCCGTTTCATTAAAAGAATAAGTATCTTCGTGTTTCTTTCTTTCTTTCATTTTTTGTTGTAGTGCTTCATTTAGAACTAATCGAAAAGATAGTTAGAACGTGTTTTTGTGTGTAGACACAAGCGGAAAAAGAAATACAATAGATATGTTGATGTTCAACAGTCCGTAGATGAATTGTTACAATGGTTATATGACTATGTCGAACAACAACGAGGTTATTACATATGCTGGTATTGCTAAAAAAAAGGAATTCTCTTTTTTTTGTAGCATTGTTACTGAATGTAATCTCGTAAGTCATTCCTGATAGAAAAAAACGATAAACATCTTTTGTATATTTAATGATCTGCTACATATGTGTGCTTATGTAGAGAAAAATAGACTAAAGTTTGCTATTGTTCAATCGATTAGGTCTTTTTATATCCATTTCTGCATTGTATACGATGAATTGTCAAGGAAGGTCTCTTTTCTTTTTTTTCTTCTTCTTCTTGCAAACAGATTGCTATGATAATGTCTTGGTTGGTGTCATATGCATATGTATGTTCTCTTCTTCTTCTTTTTATATTCATCGAAGGACAACATTGTTGAACTCTCGTTTATACATAGTTGAAGTACTCGGATGAGAGGCTTGATTTAGATTTCGAATTATTTTATAGATGTGACAAGTGAATGATGTATAATAATTCTCGTGTAACTCCATATACGAATAGGACGGCACGTCCATTTAGTATTGATCATAGTTGTTGGTCAATTGATACGCCGACGAATGTGAATTTATCAATACATGAACCAGTTTCTGTACTTTCATCATCAGCGTATTTTCCTTATGCACAACAAGCGAAGCAAGTACGTCGATCAGATTACATTAACTGTTATCAACCGGTATCACAGTACTTATCCAACTATGATCGTCCAAAATCGACAATTATTTGTGATTCAATTTCACAAAGTCCTACATCAACGTATCATGTCAACGATCTTCGACAGCGTTACGAAGCGAATGCAAAAGTTGGCATCGTTAAACCAATGATTCATCAACGTTCTTACAGTCAATTAACGAATACAAACCACGATATAAAACTTCCTGATATAACCATGGCGAGTTCCTCCCATTCATTACATCCATCACCTCCACTATCTACATCGTCAGTTATGTATAGAACACGTCCAGCAGTGTCAAATAATAATTTAAATACTCAACCGCCTATGGCTCCACGACGCTTTTCGTCAATTAGTACGGATAAGCGTACATCATCTCATCGATCATCAAGAACAACATCAACATCGTCATCCATTGTTGGTATCAACGAATTATCATCGCGGACGATTTTGAATGAAAATGACCAACAACTAAACGATGGAAACACCACTGTTGTTGATGTGAAGCGCATCGAAATGTTCTATGGAAGTGTTGGAACATTAGTTAAATCGGCTAGTTCCATCGCTCGTCTTTTCATCACAACAACACGACAGTTAGCTAATTTTGAAGATTGGTCATGTCAACAACTTGGCATTCCTGTTTGGATCTACAATACCGTTCGTACCTTGTCACATGGATTCTTTTCATTCTGACCTTTTCGATTTAGGGCGCAAATCTCAAACGAACACGACAAGTTCAGCTGATGCTTGTCCAACATGACAGTTGTTTTGCTGTTTGGTCAAGTCTAATTTCCAGTCAAGCAGAATTACGTTTACCGAAAGAAAATTATATCACATGTTGGATACCCGAATCTAATATGCTTGCCGTCTTTAAATTTGAACGTCACGATGCGTGTCGATTATTTTTCCGACATTATTATGAAATCTTGGAGTACGAACGACGCATGAATTTGGCGAATCCTCCGCCTTTGCCAGCTGAGAGTAACAATAGTCAAACGAATAAAGATGTTCCACGTCGATATTCACGTTTACGAACGATCTCAACTAAGCAAGACAGAGAACAAGAACAACAACAATTCGAATTACGTCGGTGTCGAAGTTTGTCTAAAATTCGAACAGTGAAGAAATCTGATATCTCTGGACCAATAAATTTCGAACATGTGAATCATGTCGGTAATGATTCGAATACTCAATCGAAAGCACGACCATTATCAGGTTCAATGACACTTCGATCTTTACATGCTTCGATGTCGCATTTACCAAGCATCGGTAATATCACTGAACGAGTATTCAATCAAATAAAGAAACGTGCATCAGGTTCGTTTGAACCTCGAACGACTGCAGTGTAATGATATGAACAGAATTATTTTGATCGAATCATTTTTCTCACGAATGAAAATATCTTGTAAAGCCTATTTTTTTTTCTTTGTGCCAAGTAAATATATACATTATATTAATTCAGTATAGAGTGAAAAAAAGCATCTCGTTTTCTTTCGACAGTGTTTCGTTCATGCTAAACAAGCTTGGGCGAGAGTGTATGTCTGTGCTATGCATTGTGTTCTCGCTTACATTCTAACACGCGCCATCAGACTCCCAGACGGTTAAAAATCGAAATTGGGGTTATGAATCTTATATATATATCTTGAAAGATGGAATAAATGACACTACACAACCCACCACATCTCCACTTATACAAATTTAATGGAACCATATTATCGTGAGAACAAGTTTACGTAGGTGTGCACTGTGACGAGCTTCAATAATTAGCCCAATTTATTTGGTTTATATACGGTTCGACAGAGCAGACAACGAGTTTTCCATAGGAATCAGATAAGCAAAATACTCTCGGCGAGGAGCTCGATAATTCCACCTTCTAATATCTATACATGACTAAATTTTATGTCAAGTTATGAACGAAAAATGATCAACACGTCAGGTTCTGTAACTCCTAAAAGTTTAAGTGACCTCTGCGACAATCGATATAAACGTTGTTCACTTCTACGTAACACATAGAGAGAGGGAGGAACTCCGTATGTTTATCATTCAATGAAATAATAAAAGAAGAAATTCTCTTGTCGGTTATTTTCGAAAGTAGTATTTTATCGAATCTACCTCTCTCGGCAACCACAGCGAAGAGAAGAAACTATGGCTCAGAAATTCCTCCGAATTGATTGGCAATCGATTTTTCTGTCGCTCGGCAAAAACTTCAATTTATAAGCGTTGTGAAGCCTCTCTTATTTAATGTATCAATGTGAACAGATATTTCAGTGTTCTAAATCAATTTGGGCTGTAGTACAGAAAGTTCTGTGTAATGCGACGCAATTGACAAGAAATCCGCAATATCAACTAAACATTCATAGATTCAATACGAAACTATGGTTATTTTTCAAAGTGTTCTGGTCGTTTCTCAATGAACGTACGATATTCCTAGATAATGAGCTGAAGTTTCAAGTGATTCTACAACGAAGTGGTGAAATCGTTTTCATTTAAGCATAACTTCAAATCTTTCCATCGAACTGTACAAAACTCAAAAGATTTGGTAGAATGTGTTTCCTTTAAAGTGCAGTCGTAATCATTCCGTAAGTAGTTAAAATTTTGCTTGTAAATCCTATAACATATACTATGATTGCCTTTTAGTGGCGTGTGGCACCGTATAAGAAACTCTTTAGAACAGATCGAATTGATATCATATATTTCCGATTTCAGTTATTCGTCGTATGATTCCATTCGACAATATGTTATTGATATGGTTATATTCGAAATACATTAGATTTACAGATAATCGCGCTTTCTTTTTCAGTCAATGTTTCATATTTCCGGAGAAAAATATTACAACTCTGAATTACGAGAACAACATTGTTTTATAACAGAAATCATTATTTAAACATTTAATACGAAGAGAATACGGTGACGATAGACTTTTAGTAGAGAACTTCTTTTCAAGTTGAAACTTCTATTTTAAACATTCAAGATAGATAGAGATCTCATGAATGCCATGATTAGTCGTAGTGTTATCGGTTTCATTCTCTTTTATTAAACCTAGAAACAGTATAGTATGCACTAAATTTATATTAAATCAGCTAAGCTTAACAATAGCCAAAGAAGGTAAAGATCAACAATTCGAACAGTGAAAGAAGCTAGCATCTTTCAGTCGATCATTTTCGAATATGTAAATCATGTTGATAATGATTCAAACACTCAATCAAACATACGATCATCATCAAGTCCAGTACCATTTCGATCTTTACATGTCTTGATAGCACATTAACCAAATATCAGAAACGTTCTTCAGGTACATATGAATCTCAAACAACTATGGCGTGATGAAATGAACAGAATGATTTTGGCTGAATCATTGTTCTAACGAATAAAAGTACATCATAAAGCCTGTTTTTTTTCCTTATACCAAGTAAATACATATATTACATTAATTCAATATGAAGCGAAAGAAAAACAATTTCGTCTTTTTTTCACATGTTAATAGAACTTTCAACGATGTTAATTTTTATACAAAAAAAGTACGTCACGAAGAATATGATGTCGCACGCCGCAATCAAGAGACTTCCCTAAGCAATTCACATGGAAAAGAGGATATTCTTATCAGTGCTTACGCACTTCTGATACTTGTCAATAGTAACGAAGCAATATATCAATTATCTTTAAATAAAAGGACAAGAAGTTGCTTCTGGATTTATTTAAATGCGTAATTAATATAGTTGCAACAGTTCTTAAATCATGATTAATTGTGACAATAGGATATCTTATGTGGTTTTAAGAGAATAAGTACTTTAAAGTTATTTGTAGATGTACTTTATTTGTACATGAGAGTCGAATAGAACTTGTTCATGACTTTCAAATATGTTCTTTCAAAAACAAAAACTGAACTGATCGTAGTTAATAGTTTAAGAAAGAATTAGTTCGTCATCGTCTAACGACGCTATCTGTTAATCTCTACGCAAGTGACGATAGATGAACTAAGACTTCAATTGCTTTCCAAGAGACTAAGAAGCTCACAAAGAAAAGAAATAGACATTATTCTTTAGTTTTCCATCTCAAATATTATCCGTTATTAGATGAAGAAGATTTCTAATTGAAATTTCTCGTGTATATTTCAATACGATTGTCAATCTCTACCACTTTTACATCTTTCTATCGATTGAACGTCTGGCATATATTAATACTAGTATGTCATTCACTTTGTGAGATAATTCTTTATCTTTACAACAAATTGTTAGAACATCTTGTTTGACATCATACGCTCACATTTATTGATTTATTCTTTGATTAACCGTTGTAATGGGCAATGTCCATATTAGATCATATCTTGTGCAAACATTGTACTAGCATCGAATATTTACTTTTCTTTTTATTTTATATTGCATTATGTTAAGTAATGGTCAATAGTGAAGTACTAGATGCGAATGAATTCATTGGAAAATAAAACGAATATGTCCTTGACTTCATCTACATATAACTACATGATGTCGACATTTGTTCACTCTCACGTTCTTTCTCTCTCTCTCTCTGCTTCTCGTTTTCTATCGGTCTTTTTTTTATTATATTCAGTGGTAATCGACACCAACAGGCTGCTACTCAATTTCTCTTCTTCTTCTTTTCTTTTTTTTGTGCTTATCAAAGGCCATTGGCGTTCAATAAAATGCCCGCACGAGTGCGTTTGCGTTTTGCTTAGGTTACGTGATTACTTTGCTTCTGTCTCAATCCTTTCACTATATCCAATGCATGTGTGTGCGTTTGTTGAGTTGTCCTTCGCATTTGTGTGTCAACGTCGGGCGAGTAGATCAGTATGAGAAGAAAAAACTGAAAAGAAAAAAGTTTCGCTCGTCCGCCACTGCTTAGACTCTTATTGCGTTCANGAAAACAAGGCATGAAAGATGATTTAGGCCGGATGGGTAGCATGCCTGCGGACTCCCATTTCATCAACAACCAACTATTGCAACGAATAATGTTGTGTTGAATACCAACGCCCGAACGATTTTCTTTCTTTCTCACACTCTCCTCGTCTACCACTCTTCATCCTCTTCTTGTTCCTGTTCTCGTCGTCCTTTTTTCCTTCCCATTTCTTTTTTTTTCTTCCATATGGCGGACACAAAAGTCCGAGACAAGAGACGATGATGTCGACGACGGGCGGGAAAGAACGAGAGAGAGAGAATGCAAGTTAAAGATGATTGCATGTCTAATTTACGTCATGGCGACTACGACTATGTAGCATTCGCTCTTGTCCTCCTTCTCCATTCTTTCTTCGCACAACCATCATCTAATCCAATGCGAAGGACAAGGCTATTTCTCCTGTGTATGCATGCACTATATGTGTGCACGCGCTTGCGCATATATGTATGTGTGCATGGGTGTGTGTGCGTGTGTGTGACAGAACACTTACTCATGTGCTATGATCCAATATGCTGAACTTCCGTCCTTCTCATCTTTTCTATCAGTCTATTCCCACTCATTCTATCATTAAATAGTGCACGATATGATTAAATCTAGTTAATACACGTTAAAATTTATTATACTGACATAAAGTTTCTCTTTTTTGTATTTCATTGAAATAGATCAGCTAGTGTATTACGCTGTTTTTCCTCTATGTCTTCTAGTCTTGCTCTATTATTTTATGTTCGGAAAATATGTGCATTTCGCAATATCTGACATATCTATTCTTTCTAGTTCTATTGATAATATCTTTACGTAATCTAATAAGTGATTATTTTTAGAGTAAATGCTCAACGGTACTGTTGAGCCACTGCTGACCATGACCAGCAGTAGTAATCGATTATTATCAATGATGAAGACCAACGGCAGTAATGACACTAATACAAATGATAGATCATCGAAACGATCGACAATGAAATCCTCATCGTCATCAACGGGAATGATCTCTTCAATGAACAGTACTAATGTAAACAGTTCGGCACAAATGACTGACAATCGTATAAAATTTGTCGATATGCTTGTATGCGGCTCATGCCAACAAGACTTTCAACTGTCCGATATCGTAAAATTTATCGAACACAAAGCGACGTGTGGTAACAAAGAAAATAAACAGCAAATTCCTTATTTTCTATCCCAACAACGACAACGCGAAGGTGATAATGATGATGATGACGAAGGTGATGGCGACGACGACGATGATGATGATGAAAGAAAAAGTCAATCATGTAACAATCTAGGTGGAAATGAAATCGAACACCCCATTCATCATCGACATCAAACATCACAAAAACAATCAAATTTTTCTAAAGTACTGGTTGATGCTAACGCCAGTACATTGAATAATACGGGTAAGCGGATCGATATCAATTTTCCACTATCTAAATCAGTCCGTTTCGTTCTT